GTCGTTGGTGGCGCGGTCGTTGTTGGCGCAGTCGTCGGTGGCGCAGTCGTTGGTGGCGCAGTCGTCGTTGGCGCAGTCGTTGGTGGCGCAGTCGTCAGCGGGGCTGCAGTTGACTCAACTGCATCACCATTGAGCCTACAATCAATGATCACGATGTTTCCAATCTCTTGGCAATTTGGAATAAGGCAGCGCGGCGCCATTGTTGGTTTTCGTACTCTCGGGGTTGTGCCATTTGCACGAGAGCTGCTGCAGCGTCTTGCTCGTCGTCTACCACCAGCGCTTCCGGGTCCGTCAATGGACCCAATGCTTCGAAGCATGTGATGCAAGAGAACACACCGGGCAGAAGCTCCCGGCGCTTACCCTTGTATACACGTCGTCCACAGTCCAAACACTTCTTCTGTGGCATGTGTCCTGCGAGTTCATTATCGTGAGTCGACGTGCTCGCAGAAGCCTGGAGGGCGATACTAGTCGTCCACCAAGTTGTGTCAATACTAGTACCTGGGAGTGTCGTCTCGTTGCCAAGGTTGATGCGCACACAAAAGCTCTTGAGTGGGCTCAAACGCTGAGAAGTGTGGGGCCGGGCAATGAAATATCGCCGCCATGCATCCTGGTGCCACGGAGCTGTGCCACGGTTTTTGAAGTGCCGTCCGTGTACTACTGTGTGCAGGCTAATGACTGTATAGAATCTACAAGATAAGTGTCTACATCAACGTCACTTAAGAATTTGGACACGCGACGACATCGTCAATAATGTAGATACACGCTAACCTTTGCTACGCATATATAGCTATGTTGCTAAACATGATGTGTAGCACATCGCCTTGTCGCGTGACCGAATCGGTTTACAAGAATCAACGTGTAGTATTTTGTTGCGTAAGTATTGAATTATTAATATGGCAAAATTCTAAAAGCACCGTCCTTATTGTCTGGCTCAAGGAGCAAATTGGACATGTAATAACTACAAAACCACTTTGAATTGGACATCCCTGAGACTCTCACTTGATTCGAAAATGTCTGAATATGATGCGGTATGCTTGGAAAGCTCTGTATGCGCTGTTTACATGTTCAAATAGCGCTTCCAAAATGGTCGAAGAACACCAACGCGACGTCAGCACGCACAGCCATGCAAGTCGATATTCTTCGATTTCTTGAAGTTCGAAGAGTCTGAGGCGATACTAAATCTACTATTAAACATTCATTCTACCGGTTTATGCGAACTTCGATGCATACAAACACCAGGCTTAATAAATGTGTCGTTCTTGCTACCTGCTTATGGTGACCGTCTTCAGTGACATTCGTGTCCGGATGGGGGGGAAATCCGGATAGAAAAATCGGCGCGTCGGGTTCGAACCGGCGACCTCGGGAGGCAGAAGCAGGAATCATACCGCTCGGCTCAAGCGTCCCCCCCCTAGTCATATTTGTTGTTGTTGTTGTTGGAATGAGTCTATTGAGATATTATTTCCTACAGGTTTTTCTGTTTTTGTTTACACGGTGCGTTGAGAGGCGGGCGTCTTTTGGCGAGAGTGCGTATTTTTGGTGATTTGTTGTGGGGGGTTTGGACACGGCACGAGAGAAAAGAGAAGAAAGGAAGCAGGGGCAGCCACTGGAAGAGAAGGCATTCGTCGGACGTTGGGAGTGGTACCCATCAGCGCTACGCTTGCGTGGAGGCCCATACGACAAAGGTGTTGTCCAAACATTATACTTGGAATTTGTATGTACCAAACAATTGCAACCCGGCCAACTCCAAATCCCTCCCAAACCTACCCCTCCAGACCCCATTTGGCCAATCCAGGTTGCGATAAGTGATATATATTTGATATGTTCGGATATGACTGGTCGCGATTTACTCTACTGTGTATTCATTGGACGCGATTTGTAATTTTGTGGAGACACCGTGGGAGCCACAAGCAAGATCATGGAGGCGCCGCAGGACGCGCTGACGCGCAAGGCTCCAACCTGAGCGAATCGGCCGGACCTGAGCGAATCGGTCGGATCAGAAGACTTGGCTTATGTCGCCAAATGCAGCCCCGGCCTACCTCGACTGCGCCTTTAGTCGGAGACACGAAATGCACTGCGAGTACGTGCCGCGCTATCGCCGTCGCCTCGATCGCCCAGTGCGAAAGCTCCACGTGGCGAGGCCAGCCACCGAGGCCACCCGCGATGCGAACGACGATGCTGGAGGCGGAGACGCCGAGGCGGACCTCGAAGATGCCACCAGCTTCACGCCGCCGCCGCTGAGAAAGTCTCTCGACAACATGTGCCCGGCAGTGATGAGCACACCCTGGAATAAGATCAAACTTCAGCTGCGGCTACGATCTAGTAAACCCGACCGCGTAATGCATTTCCTTTCCCATCGATGCCTACTGGTGATGTGGCACCCATCGACTTTCTGCTTGCCGATAGGTAGATCGACGTCACTTTTGCTGTCGTTTGCCTGATGTCATTTTGCTCAGCGTGCTCTAAACACCAACATGATCATGTGTCTATCGTGCTCCGCGTACTTGTATGTTGGACACCAACACGATCAAGTGTCCGTGATGCTACAAGGCGCTTACCACAAGATCTCATGCCTATAAGTCTAATGCAGCAGTAAACATGCTATGCTCCCATCGTTATACGGGGCGGGCGGGAGTTGAATCACACACGCGAGGTCGAGCTCATCGCGCCGCAGCACGAAGAGCCGCAATCCGCGCCAAAGATCCGGAGCGTCTTACACTATTTTCGTTTCTCCAATGGGAAGCGTGGATTGTTTGGCCACATTTGTCCCCTCGGCCAATCAGATCGTGCGATTTCAACGAGAGTTCAACAGCTATGAAAGGATCGCCCTTTTGGCGAGGGTGCGTATTTTTGGTGTTTGTTGTGTTCCTTCGAGGCTAAGTGAGTAACGACGCCCTCTTGGCCATCCCCGAACGGGTCACGGCACGGCGGTTCTTCCGCTTGGGTACACCGCGCAGAGGCAGGAGGTCGGCCAATTGAATTTGCATGCGCGCAGCTGGATTTGAACCCGCTATCCGTTCGAGCTCGAATTTAAGTGGAACGCCTCGACCACTACACCAGGGGCCGACCCTCATATTTGTTGTTGTTGTTGAAGTGAGTCTATTTAGATATAATTTACACTGAACTGTTTTTGACTAGTCATATTTGTATGATATCAAGATGCAAATTGCACTCGCGAGCAGATAACGCGTCGTCCAATATGGTGCCATCATTTTTGCATGCACCCAGAAACCGCGGGTTCCCTCCGCGCATCAGATGCAGTAGGGTTCGGGGTGTCGTCTGTACGTAGTTGCTTTGTGTTTTGTATACTTTTGCCGCGCTCTCTTGGTGACGGTATACACCTACAACACGCGGCAATACCTGTATAGAATGCAACAACTTGTCCGCCTGTACATATACATTTTTGCAGCTGTCGTCGCGTCGCGAGGTGTGTTGTGGTCGAAAGGATTGCTCTACTTCGTGCAAGAGACTGCACAACAAAAAGTCTGGTGTGTTGGTGTCGTTGTTGAAGTGGGTCGTCTGTTAAAATAGATACGTATCAATAAATCTACGCTAAATAAAATTGTCGGACTTTCTTCGTTGTGTAGGCGCTGGTATTGATCTGGATCTAGTCGCGTGTCGCACTTGACGAACGTGTATTCAGTCAACATATGTTTAGGTTAAATTACGCCGACGCACGGCGGCCCGAGTAGGCGCTACCGCTCCACGACGCAGAACCGACCTGCGACTTGAGGTAGCACCAGTCGCCGTTGACCGTGTAGGCGGCGCAGTTGCCGACGCCGTTGCAATAGTTGCAGCACTGGCCCGAGCGCTCGCCGGCGTTGCCCCAGACCTGCTTGCGGTCAATGTCGTTGCCGTAAAAATCCGTGTTCCACTGCGTCGCCGCGCACTTGCCGTTGCCGTTCATGATGCCGCCGACGACGCCGCCGCTCCCAAACTTGTTGGCGATCGCGTTCTTCATGTAGCAAAAGTCGCCGCTCACCGAGAAGCCGACGCACTGGTCGTTGCCCTTGCAGCCGCTGGCGCACGCACTCGCCTTGGCGTTGGCGTCGCCCCACACCTGGAACCGGCCAATGTCGTTGCCCCAAAAGTCCGTGTTGTCGTACATCTGAAAGCTCGCGCTCGGGTTGCCGCCGCTGCCGCCCTCGGGGCAGAACGTGACCGAGAACTTGGTGTCCATCGGGCACGCGTGCGTCTTGGTGTTGTCGGCCGGGAACAACTAGGCGTCACCCGAGTCGGCCTTGGTGACGCGGAGCTCCGTGCACGAGCCCTGGCCCGCGTTGGTGGTGGGCGTCACGTACACGGGCACGTTGAAGCCGCTCTTGCCCGTGACGTCCTTGCAGTTCTGGTAGCTGTTGCAGTTGCCCGGCATCGGCATGAACTTTGTGTGGTACGACGTGAGTCACGTCGTACCACACAAAGTTCATGCCGTTGCTGTTGATGGTCGAGTACTCGATGAGGTTGACGTCGTCCTTCTCCGTGTGCTTGAAGAGGCCT